ACCGCATTTGTTTCTAAGTGTTGGCAGACCACTTCCTTAACAATCTTTTCCAGAATCTTGCCTGGTATCGACGTGAGGCTGACCGGACGGTAGTTGTTTGGGTCATCCTTTTTTCCCTTCTTGAAGATTATTGCATTCAAAGCACCCCCGACAGATGACCATCCAGTCTCTGCTTAAAAGCCTCCAAAGAAGGAGCCTCCACCACACTCCCGAGCAGAGAGTCCCACTGCTGAACAGCTCTCACAGTTAGGAAGTTCTTCCTGATGTACCTAATGTTTCTAATAAACCCCCGGTGGCGCAGAAAGTTCAACCTCTGTACTTGCAGGACTGAAGACCGACAGGTCAGAGGTTTGGGGGGTTTCATGCAACAGCTCAACATGAGGAACTGTATTAAGGGTTTGAGACCCACTGTTGTAGAGTTAATGCAAGTTGACACCACTTTAACTGCCATAGTTTAATGCTATGGATTTGTAGTTTTTGGTTGTCCAAAACATCAGGGGGTGAGAATTTAGTAACTTTTGCCCCTTTGGGTGTCTGGACTACAGCTCCCATAATCCTTTACCACTCATATTGGGTGGAACTGATGGGAATTATAAACTAAGGTAAAATCCACAATATCTACTTATAAACTAAGGTAAAATCCACAATATCTACTTTGAACTGGGTTATCTGAGTCCACACTGCCATATAATCCAGTTCAATGTGGATTTTTATACAGCTGTATGGAAAGTGTCTAAACAAACACCCACGCATATTCATTTCTTGAAAAGGATACGACAACCATAAACTTTATGAAGTCAGAGTCGCGCCCGCCCTCCCGCATCCTTTCCAAGAGAAATCACAGGGGCTATTTCCCGACACTACGCACGCGCAGTTTACGAGACTGAAAGAGGCGGCAATGAGAGCTTGGAGAGAGAAACAAACGAGGATGCATAGTAGTATTGGGGCGCATGCGCAGTTTGTGGGACGGCAATGAGGGCGGGGGGGGTGAGATGGCACGCATGCGCAGTTTGCGGGACTGAAAGAGGCGGCAATGAGAGCTTGGAGAGGGAAACAAACGAGGAAGCATAGTAGTATTGGGGCGCATGCGCTGTTTGTGGGACGGCAATGAGGTCTTGGGGTGAGATGGGACGCATGCGCAGTTGGCGGGACTGAACCGCAGGCGGCAAGGAGGGATTGGGGAGAGAGAAAAAGAAACGAGGAACCATAGTGGCCTGGAGGCGCATGCGCAGTCTGCGAGGGGAAACAGGACCCCGGATGTGGCGCATGCGCGGCGCAATCCGCCTCGGACGTGTCTGCAGCAACAACAACACGGCGACGCAGGAGGCCTCGGCAGTCGGTTGGAACGTTCCTCGCGCCTGAGTTTCAACCGTGCGCAGGCGCACTGGAGGAGGAGGCGGTGGCGGCCGTGGACTGCCCTCATTCTCGCCTTCCGGAGGCGAGGAGGGAGGACGCGGGCCGGGGAAGGAAGGCCGCGGCGACGGAAGGGTCCCGGCCCAGGCCCAGGCGAGTAGGAACTCCCAGGGATGGATTTAGAGTTGTGTGGCCATCGTTGGTCCTCGTGAAGGGATTGAACTGGGGTTGCCTCATCCGTCCCACTAAGTTAGGCGAGTTTGGGCTTCTTAATGTGGAGGGAAGTCTGACCAGTTGAAAATTATCTCCGCTCTGCTCCCAACTTCGGCCTTCCCTCCAGGTATTTTAGACTCCAAGTCCCACAATTCCTAACAGTGTTGTTAGGGATTGTGGGAGTTGGAGTCCAAAACACTCAGAGGGCCAAAGTTGGCCCAGGCTTGATCTAACTAGTCTTACACTAGATTTTGGAATACCTATATTTTGCATATACATCCATAATGAGGTATTGGTTACATCTCGTATAGACTACTGCAATGCGCTCTAGGGGGGGTTGCCCTTGAAGACTGTTCAGAACGGTTGTAGGTTTTTCCAAGGGACAGGGCCTTCTCGGTGGTGGCCCCGCGACTCTGGAACTCTCTCGCTCTGGAGGCCAGAACCGCCCCATCCATCCTAACATTTAGGAAACGGGTGAAGACGTGGCTGTGGAGTCAGGCCTTCGATGAATGAGACAACACCATAGGACCCTGGATGGAAGTTGATGTAGATCCATCTTAATAGGACGACTGACCACTGTAGTTTTATATATAGTGTTTTTAAAGTTGTTTTTGTAATTGTGATATATGATATTTTAATGAGTGTATATGTTTTTTATGGCTGGAAACCGGGCTGAGTCCCTCAATGAGGTTGAGAAGCTCGGTATAGAAAACTGTGAAATAAATAAATAAATAAACAAACTAGGGCTATTGGGCCATGTTCTAGAGGCATTTCTCCTGACGTTTCGCCTGCATCTATGGCAAGCATCCTCAGAGGTAGTGAGCCACTCTCTGAGGATGCTTGCCATAGATGCAGGCGAAACGCCAGGAGAAAAATTGCCTCCAGAACATGGCCATATAGCCCGGAAAAACCTACAACTACCCAGTGATCCCAGCCATGAAAGCCTTCGACTGTTCAGAAGCTTCAGATAACCTCAGGACTCGGTGGTGACCAGGGGAGCATTTGCACAGGGGAGCATTTGTTAAAACTTGTGCGCCAGCTGCACCCATACCTTGGGAAGTCTGACTTGGCCACAGTAGTTCACGCTCTAGTTACATCCCGTATAGACTACTGCAACAACTGTTCAAGGAGCTCCACTGGCTGCCGTTTATTTTCCGAGCCCAATTTAAGGTGCAGGTGCTTACCTACAAAGCCCTGAACGGTTTGGGACCACCCTACCTGCGTGACCGCATCTCCGTCTACGAACCCACACGTTCACTTCGTTCATCTGGAGAGGCCCTGCTCGTGATCCCGCCTGCGTCTGGAAGCGCGTTTGGTGGGGATACGAGACAGGGCCTTTTCTGTGGTGGCCCCCCGACTCTGGAACTCCCTCCCCAAAGATCTTAGACAGGCCCCTACATTGGCAGTCTTCAGAAAGAACTTGAAAACCTGGCTGTTCCGATGTGCCTTCCCCGATTAGGAAATCTCCAATACCAAGTCCCAGAAGCACTTTATTAGAACTAAGATTGCCGCACACTGCATTCTGCACTTACCCTATAATCCTTACATACCACCTGTCACATCAGCACTTTTAATTCTGTACCCATTACTCTGGCCCGGACCAGTTTTATTGTGTTTTGGTGTATTGTTTATTGCTTGTTGTTTTGTTGTTTAATTGTTTTTAATTTGCTTTAGGTTTTGTATTCTTATGTTGTATATTGAGGACTTGGCCTTTGTAAGCCGCATTGAGTCCTCTGGGAGATGCTAGCGGGGTACAAATAAAGTTGTTAATAATAATAATAATAATAATAATAATAATAATAATAAATAACACTCTCTACGTGGGGTTGCCTTTGAAGACGATCCGGAAGCTTCAACTAGTCCAGCGATCGGCAGTCAGGTTGGTAACAGAAGCGGCGCTCAGGGAGCATACAACCCCCTTGTTGCGCCAGCTCCGCTGGCTGCCAGTTTGCTACCAGGCCCAATTCAAAGTGCTGGCTTTGGCCTATAAAGCCCTAAATGTTTCTGGCCCAACTTACCTGTCCGAACGTATCTCCCCTTACGAACCACTGAGGACTTTAAGATCATCTGGGGAGGCCCTGCTCTCGGTCCCGTCTTCATCACAAGCACGTTTGGCAGGGACGAGAGACAGGGCCTTCTCAGTGGTGGCCCCTCAGCTATGGAATGCACTCCCTAGGGAAATCAGATCTGCTCCCTCCCTCTTGGCGTTTCGGAGGCAAGTTAAAACGTGGCTATTCGAGCAAGTGTTTACAAACAGAGTAGCTAATATAGGAAATCGAATGACCTGACAATGGAATTGGACAACGCTTGAGAATAATGAGACACTGATGATGATGTTTTTATTGGCTTTGTGATGTTTTATACTGTTAAAATTTTTATCTATTATGTTTTATGTGTATTGATTTGTTGGAAACCGCCTTGAGTCGCCAATTGGCTGAGAAAGGCGGTATACAAATACAGTAAATAAATAAATAAATAATAAAATAGTTGCATGGGCAGCAGCCAGATTGTTCTCTGGAGCACCGTTAAAGGAGCATACAGCCCCTCAGTTACGCCAACTCCACTGGCTGCCAGTTTGCTACCACTGCTGGCTTTATTTATTTATCTAAAACATTATTTATTTATTTATTTATTAATCAATTTTGTATACCGCCACTCCCTGAAGGCTCGGAGCGGTCACCAGAAGGCTGAGAGGGGCGGTATAGAAATGTACTAAATAAATAAAACATGAGGCCAAGCCCAAAAACAATACAACATAATAAGACATAAAATAACACAAATACCTTGTGAAGTCTGACTTGGCCAGGATCGTCCATGCCTTGGTTACATCCAGACTGGACTACTGCAATGCACTCTACGTGGGGGCTGCCCTTGAAGACTGCCCAGAAGTTTCAACTGGTACAACGGGCAGCAGCCAGGCTCCTTACTGGAGCAAACTATAGGGAGCATACAACACCCCTATTAAAACAGCTTCATTGGCTGCCAATAAGTTGCCGAGCCAAATTCAAGGTGCAGGTCATGACCTATAAAGCCCTAAACTGTTCGGGCCCCGCCTATATCCGCGATCACATCTCCTCTATGAATCGCGCAAACTTTTAAGATATTCCAGGGAGGCCCTCCTTTCTCTCCCACCACTGTCACAAGTACGGTTGGTGGGGACGAGAGAGAGGGCCTTCTCCTTGGTGCCTCCCCGCCTCTGGAACGCACTTCCCAGGGAAATAAGACAGGCCCCATCCCTCCCCTCCTTTCGTAAGAGCTTGAAGACCTGGGGGTTTCAACAAGCCTTTGAGAATGACCAGTTCTAGTCCGGCCCAAACATTGTTGATCATGGCCTTGCACTTCTTACCTATTACCCCAGTCATCCCTCTAATAGGCCCTGGAAATGAGCAGCCACAGACCCGTACCTGCTATTGCCGTTAGCCTGTTATAGCATTGTACTTAATTCCTGGCCCCCTCATATTTTGAGTTTGCACTAGCCTTGGCCCGGCTTTTTAATTGTTCTGAACAGGCAGGATTATTTTTAATATACATGTGTTATTGTGATAATTTTATGCTTATGTTGTTTTGTTAATTTTATGTTACGCTGTTTACTTTGTATGTTTTAGTGATGTTACTTGGAAACCGCCCTGAGTCTCCCTCGGGGAGATAGAGCGGTGTGTGTGTGTGTGTATATATAGTGTATTATTATTATTGTTATTATTATTATTATTTATTAAATGGTTAATTAGAACCAGTTCTCCAGATTAAAATTGCCATATTAAAATCGTCGTCAAACTCATTCCAAGTATGGTCCAATAAAATCTTATAAAATCTTGTCTTCCCCAGTAAAACAAACTATTCTGTGAACGCTTGATCCCATAGCCAGGATTTAAATTTCTTATGGAAGGACAGAGGGGAGAGGGCAGATCTAATTACACTAGGGAGCGAGTTCCACAGCCGAGGGGCGACCGTGCAGAAGGCCCTAACTCTCGTCCCCACCAAACGTGCCTTCTACATTTGCTGGGTTTAGGGTTGCAGGAGCATTTCAAAAATGGACACCCCACAAATAATACTGCTTTTTTAACCTGAGAGGACTCCTCTTTAGGAATATCTAGCTTTTCTAGCATGACTTTGTGGTCCAGATCTGGGTCCTCCAGATCATACTGGAGGACCTAGAGATTCCTAGAATGGTGTTCTCTAAGGATTTCCTGGTCTTCCAGCATGACTCTAATCAACTTCTGGCATAATCTGACCATACAGTTGCACTGTAGGACCTTGAGATTCCCAGAAAGAACATTTTAATCAAATATGTAAATAGCCAAATCCACAAAAGTCAAATCTGCAATTGTGGAGGGCCAACTGTAGTACTGTATGAACTTATAATAATAATTAGGAAAACATTGTTTTTGGCATTTACGATTTTTTTAAGAAACATGACTTTAGAAGCTCTATTAATGGCTTTTTGCACATGGTTCCTCTTTACATTGTCATAGAAGCACAAAGCCTAAAGAGGTGTAGAGAAACAGTACAGTGTATGTCAGTCTTTAATTTGTTTCCAAATCAGATTTGGCCTTGAGGTATTGCTAGTTATTGCTATTTGGAAAAGAGGACAAAATATCGAGTATTCAAGAGTCTTTTGGAGCTCAGAATAGTTAAATAAAACCCGGCAACTCCTCAGTGCTTTCTGACTAACAACTTACATCACTGCCTTGTTGAAATGTACACAAAGGAGCACTCTGCACATTGAAGTGCTCTCTTGTGAATGGCAGTCACTGATCACTATATGTTTTTCTCCACTTTTCTAGGATCCATTTCCTGAGTACAGCACGATCCACTCCAGAGGAAAGGTACATACCCTGATCTCTATCCACAGCCATTCATTTTTGTTGAAACCCTGATGCCATTTGTTTGTCTGTTGATGAAGTGAAATAATTCCATATGTAAGTTACAATTGTGAAGTATATTTTGAATGCAAAAATACTGCAGAAATAAGCTAGGAAATAAGCTATGCTCTGATAGTATACAGTGATGTTGGGAATTGGAAGTGTGCTTCATTAAGGAATATAAAGAGAAAATGTCACTTAATAGACAGGTTAGATAGAAGTAAGTCAAGGATATTAAACATGTATATACTTATCTTTCTCCTGATGCAGACAGCTGTTCATCTCTGACAGGTCTTAATCTGAGAATTAGGGTCAACTTCAGGCATCCAGTAGTTGAAGGTAGTTAGAATACATGGCTGTTGTAGAAAGAGGCTAATAGAGTGTTGAATGGGTGGTGGAGGTGGTTGGTTTTTTTTTTGGTTTTTTTTTTTGTGCAATGCTTGTATGGGCAAATTTATTGTAGACCAGCTTTATTTCAAATGTGTTGTCAAAGTCTTTCATGGCCAGAATCACTGGGTTGCTATGAATCTTTTGGGCTGCATTGCTATGTTACAGTAGCATTCTCTCTTGATGTTTCGCCTGCATGTTCAGAGGTCTGTTGAAGGTGAGACAAGTGGAATGTATATATATATATATATCTTTGGAATGGCCAGGGTGCGAGAAAGAACCCTTGTTTGTTTAAAGTAAGTGTGAATGTTGTAATTAGCAAACATATATAGCATGGAAGCTGCAAAGTCAATCAGTGAGGGTAACTGCATTGAGGTAGCCTGGCTGTTGTTGCCTGAATGCATCATTTGTTTGGGAGGTGTTAACTGGCAATTCTATTGCTTGCTGTCTGGAGTTCCCCTGTTTTTGAGTGATGTTCCTTATTTACTGTCTTGATTGTGGTGGTTTTTTAAATACTGGTAGCCAGTTTTTGTTCGTTGTCATGGTTTCCTAAGCACTGCAGATTGTTAATATATAATAATGCCACAATATTAGGATTATGGTTATTATTATATATTCCCAATCTGTAATATTCACAATATTTCAACCCTTCCACAATCAGTAAAAAGAATGTTTATTCTACTGATTAGGCGTCCATAATGATGCCAGCTTATTAGGAGTTGGAGAGACCTTATGACCTCAGTGCTTCTCAACCTGGGCTCCCCAGATGTTTTTGGCCTACAACTCCCAGAAATCCCAGCCAGTTTACCAGCTGTTAGGATTTCTGGGAGTTGAAGGCCAAAAACATCTAGGGACCCCAGGTTGGGAAGCACAGCCTTATGTGATGTGTTTTGAGCATTGGACTATTTATTTATCATGTTGGGAGCGAACCAAACAGTTGTATTGCATTAAAACATACACGCACACAGCATTCTATTAAATGTCCTTTGACCAGTAACTGGCCACTTGGAGTGTCTCTGGCGTTGCTATAAAAAAATCCTCCATTGTGCATGTGGCAGGGCTCAGGTTACATTGTAGTAGGTGGTCCGTGGTTTGCTCTTTCTCCAGTGGTGTAGGACGCAGACACCCCGTGATAATGTGGCATGTCTCATTAAGAGCCACATCCACTGTTGTAGCATGATGAGATGTATTCCACACTGGGCATGCATACTCAGCAGCAGAGTAACAAAGCGCTGTATTTGGTTGTGATCTCCAGGTTGTGCCAGTCAGCTTTCGTATGATATTGTTTCTAGCACCTGCTTTTTGCTTGATATTCAGGCAGTGCTTCTTACAGGTCAGAGAACGGTCCAGGGTAACTCCCAGGTATTTGGGTGTGCTGCAGTGCTCCAGTGGGATTCCTTCCCAGGTAATTCTCAGAGCTCAGAGCATTGAACTGTGACTCTGGAGAAAAGGGTTCAAACTGCTGCTCACCTGTGGAAACCTTGGGCGTCTCATACTCTCAGAGAAAGCAAACCTCTTCTGATTAAATATTGCCATAAGATGGAAACAACTTAAATGAAACTAGAACAACAAAATTAAATGTGCCTTTAAATGTATTTGTGCCATAGCTATTCAGTATTTTTTTAATATGTGTACTCAATTTCAGTTTTTATTTATTCATTTATTTATTTACTGTATTGTTACCTCTCTCTATCTCATCCTGAAAGGGACTCAGAGCAGTTTCCAGATTGGCAATAACTCAATGTCACAACAAAATGAAAAATCATAAAAATCATGACATATCAGTACATTAAAATAAACTCTTTAAGCAACACAAGATTTGTGTGATTAGACATTTTAATTACTTTTCAGCTGATACTACAACTGTACTTTTAAAGATTAATCCTACATTTTTTGAAAACTACCTGACAATCTTCCCTTTTTTTACCATGGCAGCTGGAGAAAGTTCTCTTTTCAATTTTTGACTGGCACCTCAAAGTAGAGGGCTTGCAATATTTGCAGTAACATTTGGCCCACTCCAATACCCCCACCCACAACATATTTGTCGTTATTGATCCCATTCCCTCATCGTATGCATTCTGTTAGCAGATATTTTACAATTCTGATTCATAAAAGACTTTGATATGTTGTTACAACTCCATTAATGTCAATTCTCTTCAGTTTTTTGTGGAGGGCGGGTTTGAGATCTAAGACTAATTTTTCAGTTTCTTGGAAACCTTTTACTTTTTTCATCCAGCAGTATGCTGTAAACACTTTTAACATTTTTAACTTAACTGTCCCACTTCTGTCTTTACATAGAATTCTCCCATTCTTTAAAAAAACCCCAGTATTTTAGTATTTCCATTACTCTTTTGTATTATGCAGATCTGTGGCTCAACATTAAGTAAATTGAGAATGGTTTTAGGAGTTTGTTTCTGAAAGTACTGGAGCAAGGTTCAGAATAACGTGCATTTTATTTTATCACTTCTTTTTTGGTTCTTGGATAAATTGCTTCTTCACACTTAGTTCACTGTATGCACCTCACTTCAAAGAGAGCAGACATCGTCTTCCTGGCTTCCATTTTAATGTCAGTTTAGTTTTATATTCTGTAAAGTATACTTTTTGATTCATCCATTCTGAGACTCTTATGCCTTCAAACAGTGCTATCAAATATCCAGGACCTTCCATTGTTACCAGAATTTGTGGATGCCTGAATCCTATTATATTCAGTGGCATAGAATAATTGTGTCCCTTACATAAAACAGCAAAAATCAGTGTTTGCTTTTTGGAAATTTTTGCAGGGAAATATTTTCTATGTGTGAATGGTTGAATCTGGATACAGAATCCATGAATACAGAGGGCTGACTCTAGTGTGTTCTGGTAGTGATTCAAAAGGTGAGCAATTTTAGTATTCTGCCATCACTTTATCATCACCAAGGACTTTTGCTGTCTCTACAACAGTGTTTTGACCTTCAACTCGCAGAAATCCTAACAGCTGATAAATTGGCTGGGATTTCTGGGACTTGGAGACCAAAACACCTGGGGACCCATAGGTTGAGAACCACTGCTCTACAGTCTATATGGCAGGCACAGGGAAGCTGTTACCCTTCTGATATAATTGGGCCCCAACTCCTGTCAACCTCAACCATCATGGGCAATGGTCAGGCTTAATGATAGCAAGAAGATTGCAAGTTCCAAATCCTTGCTTTACAGCAGTGGCTCCCAACCTTTAGTCTTCTAGATGTTTTGGACTTCACTTCCCAGCTGGTAATCTGACTGGGATTTCTAGAAATTGAAGTCCAAAACACCTGAAGGACCAAAGGTTGAGAACCAGTGCTTTACAGTCTTCCAAGAAGGCTCAGCTTGCCTTCTGTCATGGATAAGGTGCCAAGAAACAGAATTCTTTCAGTAGTTTCTGTATTTCAATGGAGCATGTTCTCCAGATCTCCCGAGACTACTATCTTCCTTTGTTAAATGATTACTACTGGTTAAATTGGTTTTCTTGGTTAATATGTTGTCTATTTAAGATTATTACTAATATATTTTTGTATGCTGCTTTTTCTCTTAGAGACTCAAAGTGATGAGCAGTGCTAAAAACAATTCTGAGATTGTTATTATTGTGGTGTCTTTGTGAAAGTTATTTTGAGAACATTCCGAGGTTATAAATTAGAATATAACTTCAAATGTTTTAAGTAACATATGCCAGGTTTTAATAAATAAATAAATAAATAAATAAAGGAAGTGAACAAATACGTATATTTCCATAGAAGGAGCACATGAATACATATAAGGATCAGATAGACTGAGATACTCAGTTGATGGGTGTGTTGATTGATCATACTTTCATAGTTTCTCTTCTACTGCTGCTTGCAACTAAAAAAAAACCCTCCTCACTTTCTTACAAATAGCAAAATTTAAATGCAAATGGGAAATGGACAATGAGAGAAAATAATAATAATAATAATAATAATAATAAAAAAATTTCTTTTTTACCCACCTCTTCTTACATCTTGAGGCAGGGTACAACTTAGTTAAAACCCATCATTATAAAAACATGCAGTAAAATGCATAATGTAAAACATATTTCTGTGGAATACACATATTAAAATATTCAGAACAATTTAAAATTCTTAGTTAAAAATTGGCTGAGTAGTCTGCTGAAAGAGAGAGGTCTTCAGTTGTCTCTTAAATTCTGACAGCTGATTTAGCTGTCAAAGCTCTTCTGGCAGGTCATTCCACAGTCTTGGGGCAGCTGATGAAAAAGTCCTTGGGGTGATGGTTGCGGGGGACCTAATTGAACCAGATTGTACGGCAGAAGGCTATCCTGTAAGTAACCTGGACCCAAGCCGTGTAGGGCTTAAAAGGTCAAAACCAATGCTTTGTACTTTACCCAGAAACTAATTAACAGTCAGTGGAGTGACTTTAATATGGGTGTAATATACTCACTTCTAGATACTTGAACTGCTATTTGTCGAATTATTTAATTAAAGCATGTTTAAATCAATCTTATGTATAGTTTACATCTTTGTGTGAATCCTCTGGATTTAATGGGACGTTTTCTCAAAATCTTCTTACCAATCTGAGGTAATTTCTCATAT